CCCCCCCACCCGTGGCCTCTGTGGACTAGAGCCCCAAGTTTTGTCCCTTGGGCTGCCCTGGGAAGATTTCAGTACACCCTACCTATGATTTCCAATTTGGACCCAGATACCCCCCTCTTCTAACACAATCCATTAGAGCTCCATAATCCATCTACTTATCTAAACTATTTTAAAAGCTATTTAACATTTCAGTTTATACTTCTTAGAGGAATGAATTGAGTGGCAACTACACAGAACAATCTATCCTTTTGTCTTAAGGTTACCTCTTTAGGCTCTAAGATGCCTCCCTAGATTTCCATTTTAGCACATCAAAAGTCATAGGATTATTTCTCCCATTGGCACTTTTATTGACTCCAGACATCATGTCTCCAAACGAGTCCTGAATTCTAATGTTCTTAATCTGTCTTCACACATTAACCCTGGCCCCATTTAGTCCTGCTTCTGCATGGAGCAGAGCAGGACTGCCACCTCTACACCCATCGGCAGATGGCCCAGGCAGTCCTCGGGGCCCATACCACAGGGAGCTGCCTGCAGGGAAAGCCAGGGCACTTTAAAGACCTGGTACTCAAAGGTCTTTGCATCACACTGGAACTCCACCTACTCTGTGAAGCTTTCTCAGGCAAAATTTTACAGGCAGAATAAAGTGAAACCCCTCTCATATATAGCCTCCACTCACTACACTTCTCACATGGATTATAATCACCTGGTTCGATGTCTGCTTCCTCCTTGCACACTGAGCTCCTGAGGACACTACTGTCCATCTGTGTACCTCAAGGCACATAGTAAATGCTTGGGAATGTTGCAGGGGAATGCAGCAACTAAATCAAAGCTCTTCTGCCCATTTCTGCCACCTGCAAGCCTAAGAACTTCCTGTGATAAGGCTCCATCGGCTGGCGTGGCAGAACCGGTGTCATCCTCAGATATGGAGATTCCAAAGTGTCCTGTCCCCTCTAATACTGACAAAGGCTATGTACCAGTCACGTAGCACACTCTTGGTAAAATGTGGGAGACTGAGACATACCTACAAGACAAGAACACTTTTAGACCAACTATGCACTAGAATTAACCAATGGCCAAGATCTTATCAAATGTCTGGGGAGCAGTCTCTTCCAGTAAATTGATGTCTGAATAAATCAGGAGGTGTGAGGCCAGACAGGAGCATGAACCCACGCACATACACCCCTACAGCAAACACCACTCAGCTAAGACTCCTTCTCCTGGTCTCATTCAGTGCTTTGTCAAAATATAAATCTCCTTCAATTCTCCTCAATCATGGGCAAGACAAACTTGAGGCCATCAACTTATAAATCAGTTGTGTGCCAGAAGTTCATTCACAAAACAGCTGTTTAGGGGCACCTGGTGGGCTCAGGCAGTGTCCAACTCTTGGTTTTGGCTCATAGTTTGTGAGATCAAGCCCCACATGGGTCTCTGTGCTGACAGCACAGGGTCTGCTTGAGATTCTCTCTCACACTCTCTCTCTAAATAAAAATAAACTTTAAAAAACAAATTTTAAAAAACCCAGAAATTTATTTTTATTAAAAAAAATTTTTTTTTAATGTTTATTTATTTTTTGAGAGATAGAGACAGAGCATGAGCAGGGGAGGGGCAGAGAGAGGAGCAGACACAAAATCCAAAGCAGGCTCCAGGCTCTGAGCTGTCAGCACAGAGCCCAACACAGGGTTTGAACTCACGAACCACGAGATCATGACCTGAGCTGACGTCAGATGCTCAACGGACTGAGCCACCCGAGCGCCCCTAAAAAACCAGAAATTTAGAACTCAGATTGAAGAGGAAGAAGGCTATACTGCAGTACAGCCCTAAAGCTCACTTAACCCACAGGGTTAAATGTGGTAGCCAGGCTATAGCTCAGGCAAGAACAGCCACAACAAAAGTGAAGGTTAAAAAGCCCTTTTCCCAGCAGAGACCCACCTCTTTCCCGTACTTGTAAGAGTGCAATATTCTCCTTTCCCCTCCTCTTCCCAGGCTCATACTCCCGATAAACCCTAAGTCCAGGTGAGAAGTGGCTGGACACAGTGACTCCGGAAACTCTTCCTGTCCGAAGTCACAAGGGCGTATAACGCTGGTATCCAGGTCAAGTGCAACATAGCTCAAACATGCAAAGGACAAACCTGCTCCTAGTTACCTCTCCTCCTAAGTTCCTTCACTATCTAAGTGCTTTTTATGCATTTATGCCAATCTAGGCCAAATTGGGAGCTAATTATATAACAAGAGGGGGTGTGGGTGTGTGTGCATTGCATGCACAATGCACTGACCACAGAGAGATGTGGAAATTATTCCTAATGATTGAAAAGAAAGGGAAGCTGAGTACACCCTGGACTCAAACTCCCACACTAGGAAGAATCAGAGGAATTCCATCAAGAGCCCCCTTCCCCACACTAAGAAGTAGCCCCCCTTCCTACAGACTCCCTCCTGTGGGCTCGTGTTTGATCCTGCCGCCTTAACACAGACAAGAAAGTCTCTGGGAGGAGGGAGGTCAGGAAGGAGGAGAAAGAGAAGGAGAAGGAGCTGGGAGCACCAGCACTAGGACAGGCAGTGGCAGGCAGGGAGACAAAGGTCAGAAGAGAGCGCTAGAAGGACAAAGCCACTGACACATCTAATGGAGCCACCTCGGAAGGCAAGGTGGCTGATTCCACCACCTTTGCACCGAGGGCAGTGGAGACCTCTATTAATGCCCTGGGCTGGAGATGAAGCCCATGATTCTTGCTGCAGACCCCCCTCACGAGCAAGCCCACTGGGTGCCTCTGAAAAGAACCTTGTCTCTCTGGCCATCAAGGCCCCCTCTCTCACCTGCTGGGAAGAAAAAAGTCAAGTCACACAGGACAACAGAGTAAAAAGGGAGGAAGAATGCTGGGGCTGGAAAGAACAAGTGGGAGAGCCAGAACTGCCCCTTCTCCAGTCCACAGGTGACCCTCAAGTAGGGTTAGGGAAGCTTTTCTGCAGCAATCTCTCCTATCACAGCCTCTCTCCCAAAGAGTTAATCAGGGACAACTCCCTACCCCACCCTCCAGATCCCCCAAGGACGCCCCGTCCTCCAGCCACCACGCCCCATGTCCCCAGGACATACCCACAGTCTACCCAGCAGATGGTGCCTTGTCCTTTCACTGCCTGGGCCACAGTGGACAACAACCTGAGATGACTTTCCGCTGCAGCCTCTGTAAAAAAATAAAAAATTAAACATCTGTGCCCAAGTCCACGAGGGTCACCCCTGCCATCTTCCTTTAGGGGCAAGGAAGAATGGGGAGCCATCCTTGAGGTGAGATCCTGAGCGCCACTAAAACACTGACCCTGTAATCAGTAGTTCGGGGAGAACTCTTCTCAGAAACCCCTGCTCCTGCCAGGCTCTGGACTCCTCCCCACAGACACCGAGACCCCAACTCACACCTCTGTTACGCTACATCTCATGCCTCACTGTTCCAAGGATCTCGCAGTCAGATCCTCCACTCTGACTCATTACTTTTCTGGGACAAACTGTGAAAATTCTATAACCAAACAATTACAGTTCTATAACTAATATAGGGAACAAGGTTGCCAATTCCACACTCATCTGCCCTGGAGCTCAAACTGCGAGCTGACAAGAGCAGGGACCAGATACTTCCTTTACTTGTGCATCACATCTTCATCTTGGCAGGGGCTCAGCAACCTGGTGGCTAAATGAGGATTATATGGGACACTGGTCCCAGATGGACCAATGTCAAGTGTACCCAAGTCACATTTCACAGCCCATTTCCCCAGAAGCGACAGAAGGGCCAGCCCTGGCAGTACCTCAGGGGTTAGCTATAAAAACATGGACTACACCTTGAGGCAAGGTAGGGTGAACACAAGAAAGGAAGTTTTTCATTTGTCCAGGTACCTGGGCAAAGCACTGGGAACTACTGTAGGAGGGCAGGTACTTGGGGATGAAGCCTCTGTGGCCAGGATTTCAACATTGACAACTTGCAAGGGTCTGCTGCAGAGTGGCTGTGGCCAGTGTGTCCCCTTCCCCCATCACATCTGTGAGCTCACTTGAAGGGCCCGCCACACAGACACTGGTAGCAAGAGCAGGTCTGCTGCCTCCCTCACCAAAAACCCTAAGATACATTCCAAAGCCAAGCAAAACTGATGTCTGAATTATTCACCTCCACAGATCCCCTTTTCTAGTGTGGATAATGGTAGCTGTTTGTGAATACAAAGCATGCTGAGCCTTTCATGCAAGTGAACAAAGAGCATCTTTCTAGAGACGCACAGGGAGCCACCCGAGGGAGGCACTCCCAAGAACCCCCACAAGGACAGGTGGAGGAGGGAGCGTGGCAGAGGCGGGAAAGGCCATGGCCCCACCACTCCTCTGGGCTCAGCCTGGGCTTGGTGAGGCACAGGAAAGGTACACACTGCTTGAGAGGGTGGAAGTGGAGAAAATCCAGTTATTGCGCTGCTCCAAAAACCCACTGAGGGCCACACGTGTTGCAGCAGGCCTGGGCAAGGAGGCAGGAAGGTAGTCACCTGGGTCCTGCTACCCCAGCAGTAGGAGGCAGAGAGGGGTCTAGTAAGCAGGAAGCACCGGAAGTCCCAGTGCCAACAAGGGTTGGCTGAGGGCAGAAGAGAAAAGAAGTGCGGTCCTCGCCCTGCCCCCTGCCCCACAAGCCCCTATCAAGAGACCCCACATTCCCACTCTCTAACTTACCATAACCATTTAGTGATCTCAGAGCCCTTCCGTCCCAGCAGGATTAATATTATTTCTTCCGACCCTCCAGCAGAGGAAGCACAGAGAACAGCTCCACCATCTACCGGCTGCTAGACCTCAGATGAGTTGGCTATTCTCCCTCTGCTTCAATTTCCTCACTTGTACACTGGACATTATCTGACAACCTGCACCGCCTCCCTCAAGGAGCCAAAGGAGCAAACAGGAGCATGTCGCAGAAGGTCCTTGCAGTCCTGGTCAGATGATGAGCTTATGTGACGGGACCTACCCAGAGAAGGAACTGAGCATGGTCCAGCACTGGCAACTGCCCAGCTCCAAGAGCATCCAAGGGGATGAGCCATGCTTACTCAGGGCCCTATGCTCCAGGCCTCAGGAGCAATTCTGCTCCTCCCTTGCCTCAATTTCCCCCCTACTCCTGACAACAGAGATGCTAGACACATTCTGGGCTCCCAACAACAACCTCAGGAAGTGTGTGCCAGGCCCTCAAAAGGGCAAGAGGTAGCATGTGCCAGGGTGCTTAGAGGATGCAGGGTTCAGGAGAGACACACGTCCAAAACATCCATCAGCCCCTAGTGCCAATGAGTGTCAAGGATGAGCTGCCAGGGAGAACTGTGCCCAGGAACTGGCCCAGCCACTGGCTGTTGCTTCTCCAGGGCACAGAAAACTTGGCATCCTTAGGAGCAGTGAAAACACTTAACTCTGCTGGAAAAACACCAACAGTCAGATGTTCAAAGTCGCAGCCAAGAGCTGAGCAAACCTCTCTCCATCCACTATGCCCTTGCCAGCCTCAAGGTCAGAAGAGGCAAGCAAGCCACAGTCCCACCCTCCACTGAAACTGCTCTGTTGGAGCCCACTGCAAACTCAGTCTCATGTTCTGACCCCAAAGCAGGACAGATGGGGGCCAGGCAGGGCCAGGGCTGCGAACCTGGGTGCGTGCTCCCAAGCCTGGGACCAATTCAGCTGGTGACAGGCTGACCCAGCCAGCTAATCAACAGCTCTGGCAAAGCATGTCCTGCGATGGCCAGTCCGTGCCTGTCCAGGAAGCCACAACATCCACCCCACTGACCACCATCCTCCGTCTCCCTTCACACACATCCTCTCCTTCCTGAGGTAGTGAGGACTCCAGAGGCTCTTCCCAAGAAAGACTGATTATATGGAACTGAAACAACCTTTCAGGATGCAAAAGAAACAGAACTAACACCCCTCTGTGCTTCTGCCTCATCTCTTGGGGAAAGTGGACAAGCCCGATGACCCTTGGACCCTCCCTGAGTGGCTCCTGGTCCTGAGGTCTCTGGCTCCCACTGGTGCCCCGAACCCAAACCATCCCATCGCTGATGGATGACCCCCAAGGCCAGGTTGGGCACTCACCAGATTTGGAGTAAAGCACCAGCACATTATTCCGGGTCCTGAGAAGTTTTTTCAAGTCCTTGGGGTCAGAAATTCTCTCGATGAGTGAGGAGACCTTTGTGCAGGACAGCCACGTCGGCAGGACGACCTGGGGATCAAGGAGCCAAGGACCATGAGCCCCAGCTTCCTGCCAAGCCCAAGGAAGAATGGGTGCCCGCAGAAGTGCTGCCTAGAACACATTTTACTTCAGAAGGATAAGGGCACACCGACCCTTCTCAGGACTACATCAACCTTTCCACATCATCCCTTTTCCAAATTACCAACACCTCTCCCCCAAGACACTTCCCAGACCATTCCCAGTCTCCAACTCCCCCCTCGTCTTCAGGCACATTTGTCAAGCTGTAGGGGCTGCATACTACACAACAATGCTGCAAGGACACACTTGCCACCCACTCAATCAAGACCTGTCTGGGAGGTGGACATCTGTACTCCGCACGGCACTCCAACACCACACACCAGAGCAACGTGAAAATGCCACCCACCTAGAAGCACGGATGCACAAATCCACAGAGAAGTAACATCACTTCTCATATTCAGGATGGGAATGGAAGGTTTTCAGCTTTTCCCACTCAGCCAATGATCTCAGGAGGCCAGCCAACAAGAAATGAGCCAATTCTTCCCAGAGAACCCTGAGAACTCTGAGCAGTGGAGGCACCAGGCACCTCTGCAGGCACAAGGAGGGGTGGCCAGAAGCAGAGGCTAGGGGAGGAGGTGTGTTAAAAGTCCAAATAAGGAACAGTCATACAGCAGATCCCCTCACCCAGCCTACATAGCTGGCTCCTTGCCTAGCTGTCAGAAAACACGGGGCTACTATATGGAGAGACTAAGAAAAGCTCTCCTGGGAGATACCAGGCAGGGAGTAGAAGTATGGCCCTGAGAGAAAACGAGGGGATTTAAGGGAAAGTCTATACACGGAACATTGAGATCACTGATCCTCAAGCCCCAACTCCCCCCACATCTCCCTTCCCTTTTCCAGAATGTTGTCAGTCTTATTCCCCTAGGCAGGACATTAGAGAATGTTTCTCTAAGGAAACTGAGAAGCACAAGAAAAATAACCTAAAGATGGTGATTTGGAGATCCTCCAATGAAACAACTAACTTCCCACTGAGATACCCACTGTGAGGCCCTCTCAGTAAACAAATGCCCTTCACCTCCTCCTCACACTCACAGAGTCTCCAACGCCCATGCCAGTGCCTTGCTATTCGATACAGAAAACTCAAGTTCACCAGATATTTGAGGAAAGCCCTTAACACAAAAGACAGGGATGAAAACAAACTAAAAGAAAGATGATGCTTAGAAGAAAAGAAAAACAACAGAAGAAAACAGCAAAACTATAATTATTATTCTCAGAGAAACAAAATACTGCATCCATAAAACAAGAATTGAATGCTATGAGACAGGAATAGTCAAAGAGAATCAGGAAAAACTCTTACAAAAAACTCTCACAGAAATAAAAAATTTCAAAAGAGTTGAAAGTAGAATTAAAAAAAAAAAAAACTCCTAGAAAATAAAACACAAAAATAAAAGATAAAAAATAGAAGAAAAGATAAGAAAAATAAGATGGATCCATTAAGTGCAAGTACCAAATTAAACTACAGTAAAACCCTGGATTGTGAGTACTTGTTCTGCAAGTGCTCTGCAAGGCTAGCAAATATTTCTAATAAATTTTAACTTGATAAATGAGCAATGTCTTGCAATATGAGTAGTACATGATGCCAAACATCACATGATCACAACTGAGCCAATGGTTTCTCTCTCTCTCTCTCTCTCTCTCTCTCTCTCTCTCTCTTGCTTTAGGATTATGGGTGACCAGCTCCCACACTCAGATGCTCGGCCTCAGGCTGTGGCATTTGACAGAAATCAGTGATTTTTCAGAACACTGGAAGGTACCCACAACTGGCACTAGTGCATTTTTTGTCACTTCAAAGCACCTATGGACAGTCTTTTGCTTTTCCATACAAGTAAGCTAATGAATACTTTGCTTCATTCTGGGTCAGGCTGCCTACAGATATAGATCCCTTTCCTCTGTTGCCTTACTGCCAGTTACATTAAATATAGTATATGACAAGAGTTTATTAATACTGCACTATAGCCAACATCTATGTTGTATACAATGGCCCCCATGCAAAAAAAGATTCCATGGAGCCAACAGATAGCAGTGATTCCATTAGTGATAGTGAAAGTCATCCTACACAATAACCCTCTTCTTTCATCTCCCTCACACCAGTAACGAAGGCTTTAAAAGTTTAACTGCAGGTTGTTTATTTTTCTTTATATTTTTTATTTTCTTTATTATTTTGTATTATATTACAGTATCATAATAATTTTTATATGAATATTTTTGGGTTGCGGAATGAATCATGTGAGTTTCCATTATTTCTTTTTTTTAATTAAAAAAAATTTTTTTGGGGGTGTGCGCCTGGGTGGCTCAGTCAGTTGAGCGTCCGACTTCAGCTCA